CATTAAAGCACTGAATACTGTTTGTTGCTTCTCTACAAAGTCTGACCTTGAATTTGAGTCTTCTTCCAGGCCTGTCTTTGCAGAGGCTTTGTGCTGACCAGTGGGAGGACAGGGACAGGTGGGGTGCCCGGGAAGCCTCAGCATGACAGGCAGCATTTGTGGGGTGCTGTTAGACATGACTTGCAGAGAAATTGTCATTGTGTTCTCTTCTTACCTGCTTTTTGACAGATAAAGAAAGCTTTGCTTGTTTCTTTAAATAATTCTGTTATTTATCTCAGGAATGCCTGTGATGCTAACTCTGGGACATAAGAGGAAGGTCTTTGAAATCTCACACCCAAACTTTACAGGCTGATTCTATCATTTACCATTGCACTGGCTCTGTCACCATGCAGCCTTCCAGGGAAGTAGGGCTTCAATTTCTGTCATTAAAAAAACCCCATTTATTAATTTAAAAAAGAAACATGTTCAACCATTTTGGTTCATCTTGATTTCTCTTCAGTGAGCAAATGAGGGTGCGAGCCAAAATCTTTGGTCTCTACCACAGGTGAATATTAATAGGTAAGCAGGCAGTAATTTTGTCACACTGCTCCTCTCTGGGAGAGACAAAACCACTCGTTGAACAAGAGAGGCTTAGGCAGGACATAGGCACTGGGCTGCCCTGCAGTGGTGGGACTGATGTACTTCCCAGTATGTTCAGATCCTTTTCTGGGTCTCTGGAGACTGTAGTTTCAGAAATGCAGACACTTGAGGTACAGCAGCCGGTGAGCAGGAATGCTGGAGCTCTGAGTTCTGAGGTGGCTGGACCCTTCTGCAGGCTGTTGTGAGGAGGAGGACATTTGCCAGAGCAGCAATTGGACTCGAAAGCTGCCCTGGTCTTCTGGCCTCCGATGGCTCTTCTCTGTATGTCCTCCCAGGTCACAGACCTGTGCTTGAGCTGGTTCCAGAATGGCTGGCATGGGACAACCTGCCAGGAGCATGGAAAGCCTGTGCTGTTGGTAACTCCCAACCCAACCTTTTGCAGGCAGCCAGCTCCCAGCTGGGGAAAGTCACTGCACCAGGCCTTCTTCTCCTTAGCAGAACAATGTGGCTGCTTTTACCTGTTTCCTGGGCAAACGAGAGGTGTTTGGCTGCTGTACTGAGGGGCAGGGTTGTAGCAATCACATCGCCAGGCTTCAGGCACTTGCTGCGGGGGTCCCCTTTGGGTTTTCTTGGCTGGGTAGTGTGGGATGGGAGCTGGTGAGCTCTCCCTCCACTGGCCTCCCAAGGGTCCCAGTGCCTCTGGCTGGTTTTGCCTGCTCCCAGGTGAATATTGCCAAATTCAGGGCAGAGGCACAGTAGAGCAGCAGCAATTTTATACTTTAAAGGCTATTTCTAAAGATAACAGGCTAAAAACTGGTTTGCTCAGGCAAGCTTTTTTTCTGCTGGTATTAAAACAAACCCATTTAAATAATTACAACATTTTCCCTATATTTCCTTTCCCTGCCATTTTTCACAGACTCCACAGCAGTATTACCTGCCTGCTATTGCAATATATTCCAAATACAGTAGAGCGTCTGATGCTGAGCAGCTGTTGTATTTCTGTCTAGAAGAGCTCCATGTTGCCATGATTACCTCGATTGTAGAACATGGGCTGTTTTGCCTGTTGCAAGTGAAAACTTAGCAATTCATAGAGTAGCGTTATTTCACTTTGCCACCAAGGGTTACCTGTCCTGAAGGAGCAGCAGGCTGTGTGGGCACACACGTATCAGGATGCAGTGGCTGCAGTCCCAGCACCTGGCATTGTACAGGCCCTTGTCACAGAGAAGGTCCTTCAGTGCATTAGTGAGGAATTCCCTTCTGCTTTCAGATCTGATAGTGGTGACTTAACACTGCCTCCAGCAGCTGAGCTAGTTAAGGGAGCAGTTGTTCAGTGTGTTTCATGGAGCTAATGCAGTGCTATTGCTAAATCTTTACTGCTCTGTCACGTTAATGCCAAAAAAGTTTCTTAAAAAACCAAACCAACCAACCACAGACCTTGCTTTTTGGGGTGAGCCCCTCTCAAATGCCCTGGGTTTTGTTCAGTTATTTCTACTGAATAATTTCGGCATAAGGTCCTTGTAAAATTCGCTTTAGAATGGATTCAGTCCAGTTTTGTTTGTTAGTAAAGAACAAGTTATAGACAGATCTTTCTTTCTTGTTTAATATGTATAAGCTCCTTTACAAGCTCTAGCCAAAGAGCATTCAGGTAATTACTTGAGGCACCTTTTAGTTGGAGCCACTGCTTGTATGGGAAGTGAAACTGGTCCCAGAGATCGCAAGCAGCTCTTTGTGTTGTGCCCTCGGCACAGCCAGCCAAGCCCTGCCTGTTCCCCTCCACCGAGGGGACGCCCTCGCTGTGTCCACGTCTCTTGGTGCTGCAGCACTGGGGAGGAATAACGAGGAGCAGTGTGAGAGGAGGGCTCGGGCAGCTGCCACAGGAAGAGGAGCTGAGCTGACATCTGTGCTTTCCCACCTGGCCAGTTCTTCCCACCCTAGAGCGGAGCTGGGCAGGGATGCAGAGGTCATGTGGCTGTTGCGGGTCACCGATGTGTTCAAAGAAGTGCTGCAAGCTGGTGGTGATTCAGACCTGTGTTTCCAGCTGATGGGCAGCCTTCCTGCTTCCAGCAGAGCTTGGCTGTGCCCAAGAGGGCTGCACACAGCCTTCCTGTCCCCTTCTCCCAGCCAGGGGAACAGCAGTGACACTGTGCATCTTTTGTGATGACCCTTGGTGTCAGGGGTCCCAGTGCCCTTCCTTAGGGCTCCCAGGGAAGGGTGTGCTGGGGAACCCAAACCTGGTCAGCAGGCAGACAGCTGAGCGCAGGGATTTTGTGGGCTACAGGGGCTTCTGCCCTTCTGATGGTCCTGCTCCTGCTCTCCTGCTGCAGACTAGGAATTTTCATTCCACAAGAGTGCTGTGAGAGCTCCTCAGCCCCCTTGTCCAGCAGCACCTGGGTGCAGGGAGAGGGGCAGCACATTTCTTCTTGCCTACAGCCCATGAATGCAGCCTCCCACTGCTGCCCAGGCTGGTCCTACTGGGAGCTGGCATCCCAGTGCCCTGGTGATCCACAGACAAACAGGTAACCCACTGGCATGGCCCACGTGCTCTGGGCACACGAGGTGGGAACTGCTTTTCTTCACACGCTGCATCAGTGTACAAAGAGAAGGCTCAGTGTTAATCCCCCTGGGGAGCTGCCATAGGAGCTGCCTGTTGGGACTGTGGCACCGCAATTAGAAACAGGTAATTAGTGAGGGAGCACGGTGGCTCTTGCTCTGGCACCCTGGGAGCACATGTTCCCTTGGGAAGTGAGCAGAGCTGAGCCTGGGCATGAGCTGTGGTTTGGGTGGAGGCAGGAGCTGGAGGACTGGCTGTGGACACTGCTGGTTCCTGTTCCTGGCCCAAGCAGAGCATGGGTTAGTGACCAAGGCAGGAGTCCGAGGAGATGCCCTGTGGGAGAGGGACAGGGCCCTGTGTGTGCTGTGTCCTGCTGCCACTGTTCTTTCCCTCCTCTCGGAGAGGCTCCATTGTGCTCCTGCCCGATAAACACACAGGATGGAGCCATGGCAGCAGCAGCAGCAGCAGTGGTGAGGTGCCCCAGCAGTGCCTCGGAGCACCGCAGCTCCCTCAGAAAGAGGGAACCATCCAAAGGCAGGGACAGCCACCGCTCCGTGAACAGCAAACCGAGTGACCTAATTCAGCTCTGGCGGGCAGCCCTCAGCTCCATGGCGGCCGTGCTGGAGCTGACTCATCACTTCCAGCGTGGCAGAGATTGGAGCTTTCAGGCCCTAAGGATTTTGCTCCTTCCTTATTAATTTTAAATTGATTAAAGTGAATTTTTAAAATACCAGGAGACACTTGCTTAAAGGAATGGTTATTAAAAAATAGAAGGAAATAGTTGGTCTGTGGGAGTTAACTCTGTGCTTAACGACCTCTGGCTCCTGCAGCTGTAAACACCCATTGCAGCTTGGAGGAGTTTTATGTCAGCTGTTCTGTCATGGCAGATTAGCAAGGACAGGATTAATCCATCTTTATTGTAAAAAAATGAGAATTATAAATGTCCTTGCTTATACCCAGACACCCCCCTGGTGTCCTCATCCATGGCAGGGTGGTATTACAGGCTTCTGCTCTCAGCTACATGACTTTGTCCAGAAGTTGAGATCTCCCAGAGAAGTGCATCCCTGCAGGAGCATCCTGTTCTTTCCAGCATTGCTCAGTGCCTGACAAAGCTCGTCATACAGTCCCAAGCCCCCCTGGGGTGGGCTGTGGGCTGTCTGTGCTAGAACGGGCTGCCAGTCCCCTGCTTGGCTTCCCACAGAGGTTGCCATAGCCAGCGTGGGCAGGACAGATGGATGGAGGATCCTTTCTCTCGCTGTCAGAGGGCAGTTCCGGATGAGCTTCTCCCCTGGGCTGTTCTCACCTGCTGTGCCTGCCCCAGCTCTGCCAGGGGGAACTCCCTTACACTGTGGAGCAGGAGGATTTGCAGTGATTTGCAGTGTAATTGCACAACTCAGGCTTATGCAGATAGGTGAGGCTTTTCCTTTCTGCCTGCCCTCTTTCCCGCTAGTGGGAGGTGGATGCAGCCCAGCAGCCAGCCAGCAGCCCAGGAGTGCCCACGGACCCACCTAAGCCAGTGCCACTAAGGACCCTTCTGTGCTGTGGTGGGCTACAGAGATGTAGGAACCCCCTTCCTGCAGTCTGCAGAAGCAAGGTCAGAGCTCTCTCCCCATGGGTATTTCTCCCTGAGAGCTCATCCTGGGGCTACCCCCTGTCAGCATCCCACCTGCTGCTGGAGGGGGCCAGGGCTGTGCCTGCAGGATGCACAGGGTCTGGCCCTGGCTCACTGGCAGGGATGGTGCTCCATTACAGTGAACGTCAGGGCTAGCTCAGGCAGCATAAACAGTAGATTAATTGATAAAGCTTTTTGTCCTGCAAGCAAACACCAACAAATTAAAAATTAAAAAAAAAAAAAAAAAGGAAGGTGGAAAACTGTGGTACTTCAGAGAAGACAGAGCAGGAAGCCAAGAGGAGTGAAGGAGCAGAACATGGAATTCACCTGGAGATAATGAAGCAGCAGAAGTTGTCAGCCCCTTTTATGTCTGTCTAAAAAAAGAGGCCTTTTATTTCAGTGAAACTGAAGAATGAAAATTAAAAAGCTAAACAAAGCAGAAAATTTCTGCAAAAATAATTTGACACTTGCTATTGATTGAAGGAATGGAGCAGCAAAGTTTAACAAGTTGCATAAAAGCACCTTTGGTCTGCTTTAAAAATCTCTCTAAAAGAAACAGTTATATCACTCATATGCTGTTCACCTGTCTCTTCTCATCTCTAGATCTCAAAAGCGGAACTGCTCTAACTTCACATGCCAAAGTAGAACCTACTTCTCCTGCCTCTGCCTTGCACTCAGCATCCAGCCTTGCCCATGGTGCAGTACAGCAGATATTGCTGTGGGAGAGCCTGGCTGGTGAGACAGAGTTCCTTCCTGCTCACCTCCTTGAGCATCGAGCTGTGTCAGCTGGGATGACTGGAGAAGCCCATCTCTTTCCCTGTCCTCTGAGACCAGGTAGGATGTGTTCCTTCTTAGGACTTGTCCCAGTGTCAGCAGCAGCTTGCCCTGGGTTGTCCCCACTGCTGTGACATGCTCTCTTTGGCTTTACCTGGGTACCTGGGAAGGGTGACAAAGGAGCAGTTTATGTTGTTGTGTGGCGTTTATATTGATGTTCTTTGATAGTGTGCTGGTTTTAACATGTTTCAACTTTTTTCCAACCAAGGTTCTTTCCAAATTAGTGAATGATATGAACAAATCCTTTCTGTGCTCAGACAGACTCAGATATAGTGTTTTACTTGACTTAGAAAATTATGAAGTTGGGTAGGAACACTGGGTTACAGAATGTTCTTGCTTCATTCATTTTGTCAGTTGCAGTTTTAGTTTTAATTATTTATAACACTTCATAATGTACTAGTTCAATTACAGTAGCATATTTCGATAGAGTAATGAAATCAGTGACAGAGTTACTGCAACACTTGCTGTTTACCCTTTGCTGAGTAATATTCACATTAATTATACACATATTAGAATGGCTTTAAAATATATATAGCCTTAAAGCTGGAGGGTTTAAGGTGTTTTAGACATGCTTGTTCTTCATGTAGTTAAAAATAGTGTCCTCTAAGACCTGATCCTAAAGTAGTACATGAAATCAGTGCCTATTCATGGAAGGCAGGTTCTGGCAATGTGAAATCCTTTCAGTCTCTGTAGAACCAGGCCTCAGCCAGCAGACATAAAGAGCATGTTTCAGTGTTTTAAGGGCAATATTCTTGTATAAGGTTATTTTATTCCTATTTCTTTTTAGATAAAAGCACCCAACAAGCCTGCTTTCTTGGTCCTATATGAGCTGCTGCAGAATCTGTTTAAGGTCTGCTGCTGTTGATGAGAAGATGGGTGTAGGGGTTGGAGAAGTTCTGGCCTTGTGTGTATAAAACACGACTGACAAAACAAAATGCTGTCATATTCACAAGGCAAACGGACTTGAAAATAGAGAAAATATTTTTCACATTTTTTAAAATTTTATCACTCAGCTGTGCTATTTCTAGTACTAGCAGACATAACATTTTGCAGAAAGGAATGTGACATCTATTCAGCTGGCAGTATTAGGTTTCCCTATACTGATACCATGTCTTGCCAACAATGCTGTCCTGTGGTGGGAATTGTGTACAGTTACCTACGAGACAACTGGCTGTCTTCATTATGCATTTCCATTTTTTTGAGCTGGAGATAAGACATGCCCAGCTATGCCAAGAATTAAAACAACCCAACAAGTCCGTTCTTGTTCGGTGAAAGTGCTGCTCATGTTCTCAGAGCAAAGCAATTATGTTCTCTCTATTGTCACAGGTTCTGCTATTTAGTGGTAATAGCTGTTAAGCATCAAAAAACCCACAACAAACAAAACAAACCAAACAAAACCCAACAGAGGATGGTCTGCCTGGCAAGTGACCTACCTTACTCCCTATTTTGTTTCTTTTAGCCCCAGGCTAAGGTGCTGCTTCTGAAACAAGAGTGATGCATGCCCTCCAGCTCTACCTGCAGCCAAACGGAGGGTTTGGTTTTCCTGCTCACCCATAATCCATGCCTCCTTCCATCCCTCTGCTGCTGCATCACAGCCAGAGCTGTCTGGAGGAACAGACTCCAAGGGGTTCTGCCCTCAGAATTCAGCCCTTACGCCTCAATTCCTAGTGCCCATTGTGGGCATGGCCCTTCCCCAAGAAAACTTGAGAGACACACAATATGCATTTGTGCAAGTCTCCAAGAATCCATGTCCAGGGCAACCTTTGGCCCATGGTGTTTTATGACAACCAACTTGTAAATAATTTTGCTTCTAAACAGAAAGGTTTGGGGAAATCAAAAATTCTCTGGTTAAGGAGAAATCTGCAACACTTATTTGAGCAAACCATTCAGCATGAACTTAGGCAGGATTTGGTTAATCCATGTTGGGAGATTCAGAGTCCTTCAGTGGCAGTTGGTTTCTCACATTTCTTTGAGAATGTGTATGTGGATTGCAGAAAGGCAGAAAGTCACTGAAAAAATTATTCTCTTCTTTTGTTTGCTTCTAATTTGCTCGTAAGGAAATTGAAAGTAAGGAAATCTCATCAGGAACAACACCCACATGCAGGTACCAAGCCCCTGCTGCACCTGAATTCAATTGATGCAAAGAAGCTGAATTTAAAATATGCTCCAGAACAAAGCAAGGCCAGCTGGAGGATTTCCTGCAGGAGAAAGGAAAAGCCTGGGGAGGCAGTGGGCCGGAATGCTGAGCTGTGACACATTCCTGCTGGCTGTAAGTAGTATATCTGGGAGGAGGGGAATGGGAATGTCTTGATTTGGTCATTTGGACTAGTGAACTCTTCCAGTTAATGCTTTTTTTTATCTAGCATTCAAAATGTTGGGGTTTTTTAAATTTCTTTATGTATGTTAAAAATATCTGTGTGTGTGTGTGTATATATATATATATATATATATATATACAGGGTGAGATTGAGTAAGTATTCATTATAAGAGGCTTCAGAAATATGGTGTGTCTGTCTCTGAGCACTAGAAGATACAGAAAACAGTGTCTGGGTGGCTCTGAGCCAGGTGCCTCCTGGCTGTTTGACCTGAGGAAGGCTTTGGTTGGTCATGCTGGTGCCCTCGGGCTCTCCCTGCTGTGCTGGGAGCGGGGCCGGGTCAGTGGCTGGGAGGAAGAGGGGGAGAGGAAGAGGGGCTTGTGGAAGCCACCCTGCACATCCCAGTGAACGGGCTGGAGGAGCCAAAGGTGGCTGCAGAGGCTCTCGGCAGGAACTCTGGGTGCCACTGTGCTGCCACTTCCCCTTTTGTCCGGGCCTTGCCTTGTCCCCTGTGCCAGCACTGCGGGCTGGGGGTGCCTCCCCACAGTGTCCCAGGGAGCCAGCCCCGCGGTGTCTGCCCCGTGCAGCTCCTGTGCTCTGTCATCGCCGGCTTTCCTGCAGCGCTGACGATGGCAGTGGCACTCACAGCTTCATGAAACACCTTGTTGGTTTGACTGTTTCAGACTTTTAAAGTTGCTAGTATTTCCTTTACCAGGCACTAATAAAAAAAAGCCTATTTGAGTCAAGTAAAAATGCATTTAATTCAGTCCTTCTCTTGCAGTCTCAATCTCATCATACCTCTAATTTTAACGTAGGCTGAGTCATTTTCATCCTACTGCTTTAAAATCAGGCTGTGGAGCATGGTCTTGTTATGCTATGTTTGGGAAGTAGAATGAATGCTTTTTCTCTCTCTTAGTCAGATCTATGCTGCCAAGCTTTTATCATTTGGTGCTCTTGGATATAAAAATAACATAGGGATGATTTGCAGAGTTAGTTTTATTACTGTAAGCAAAATTGAAACACAAAGGATGCCAGTGTACATTATGCAGATTGATTTATACAAATAAATTAAATGGAAAGTATTAGTCCAATGGAAATAATTAACCTTGTTCTGACATAATTCCTTGGGGCAGAGCTTGCATTGTGTGTGCAGTACAGTTGTTCTGCAGTACTTGCTCTCTGGGTTTTGTTTCTCTGTGGCTTGCTGGTTCCTCATCTGCCAAACCCTCTGCTGAGGCTGCAGTGGTTAATATTTTTCTAAATAAAGCACTATCTTGTTCCCTGTTCTTGAAACTAACTGATTTGTTTTTCACACATCTAAATACTTCCATTTGAGACAGACTCTTGGCATGGCAAATGCAGGTGGAACAGTTGTGGCCTGGCAGTGCTATAAACCCCAGAGACAGCTGTGAGGCGAAGCCCTGGCAGCAGGTAGGGCTGTTCCAAACACTGTATCTACTCCTGTACCCATGGGGACAGAGCAGAAATACAAGGGGAACACCACAGTATGTTTGTGATTGTAGCAGGTGAGAAATATTGCACCCCTGGGTCCAGCAGGCGCATGAGAAAACTAGAAAACTGCTGAAAGTGGCATAAATCCAAGACTGAACAAGCTTGATCTGTTTGTATACAAGATCTGGTTGTGAATCTGGGTTGAACCAATTTTGCTTCTTCATATGAATTTGAATTGTAAAACAGTGGCTGATTTTTATTATTTTTACTTTGAGTTAATTTGGATCTGCATCTTGGCGACAACCTGGGTCTTTGGACAGCGTGGTCTGTAACAGAAGTGAATAAGAATGCATTACACCAGCTGATGTAGAGTTAGTTCACCTCTTAGTATGCAGAAAGTCCCAGTGCTGCCACTCCACCTGGCAGTGGAGTCATCCTGCCCTGCCACTTGGCTGTGCTGACAGAGGGGGGAAGTTGCAAGCAGTGAGAATAGTGTTTCTAAAAAGATGCATTGTTCTTCTGAGCTTTTACAAAGCCATTTCAGTCCTACAGGTGCAAAAAAAGTTGGAGCACGAAGGTTTGGGTTGTGGGGGACCAGGAGATTGGAGGGAGGGGGTAGGTGTCTTTTAAATCAGTAAAATCAGTCAGGTGCCCTCTGAAGCAGAATTGGTAATACCTCAGCTGTTCTGATGGCTCTTCACCCGCTTTCTTCTTCAAATCAGCTCCTGATGTCATTCCATGATCTGCTCCAGCACTACCTGTAGAAACTCAGCCTACATCTTCATTCCCCAAAAGTATCCTGTTACTCCTTGATCTGTACCGGGAAGAAGAAACCTGGATTGCTGCCTGCAAAGGGATCTGTTATGCCCACTCAGCTTTCTCCTTCTAGACTAAACAAATCCCATTCTTCCCGTTTCTCACAGAACTGAAGGACAACTGAGGCTGGGACTTCAAGAAATCCTTTAGTCCAGCTCTTCTTATCAAAGCATGCTCCCAGTTCCCCCAGCCTCTCCCTGTATGTCAAGTGCTTCTATCCTTTCATCATCCTCGTGCCTCTTCATTACTCTCCAGCATGTCCAAGTCTCCCTGGTATTAAGTGATGTTTAATACTGGCAAATCTTGAGATTACACCAGTCCCTGTCTGGCTCCCCAGCAGAGCACTGTAGACAAATCCTGTTCCTTCCCAGTTTCTGCAGGGTGTTTTTCTGTTAGTGAAATGTTCTATAAGTCACTTCAATCTCTGCATTAACTCTTATGTAAGCTTTTCCCTGGCTGGCGACTGTGAAATGACATGCCATGAACTGCAACTGAAGAATGAAAAATAGGACTTTTTCTCTCCCTGGTACCAGCAGTTTGGTCACTTCAATCTCCCTTCATGAATATGAACTTTAAAAAGTAGAATTACAGATTTCAGAGGTAGAAGATTAAAAGATTTAGGAAATCCTAGGAAAAAATCTCCTGCTTCTGGCTGAATAGGTTGGAATCCATGTGTAGATAGAGAACTAACAGCCAAGGTTACTGTGGGATTGCAGGAACCACAGCATGTGCTTGTCAAGGAGACTGCTCTAAATGGGAGAGCAAAACTAAAACTGGGTTTGTGTGTGGTGGCAAGAATTGGGTTGTGTGAGCCAGAAGTGTCTGAGCCCGTGTCTCAGCCTCTCCCTTGCTCATTGATCTTCACCTGAAGTCTTCACCCCAAGGTTAAGTCTTCCGGTGGAGTGTTTGGCAGAGGGGTGAGCTGCCTTGCACCCAGTGCCAAGGACAGCAGTGCAGAGATTTTCTGTGCTGTAGGGTCATGCTGTAGCTGACTGTGGCAGCTGCTTCAGGCAGGCTGGCCCCAAAACCTATACCAGGTCCCTGGCATGTCCCTGCTCTGTGCCAGGAGCAGGATCCTGTCAGGCATGTCAGCCCAGTGGCACAATTTTTTTTTTCTGTACATTAGGTTTTGTGTAATCTGTGCAGCTTTGGGGCTTTATAAACAGTTTTTTTGGCAATGAAGAGAGATTGTGGTGATGGAACCGGTGTAATATGTGACTGTGAGGCACACAAAGCCCTCTGGAGAAGCAGGAGAGGACTTCAGTTTGGGTGAGGTACAGAATTACTCTGAGTTTATCAAAATGGTGTTAATCACGCAATTGATTTGTGGGAGAAGGTGTCCAGTAACAGGGTGTTTGGTGACTGATCAAGGGGTGAGATGAAGATCTGCAGCTGTTTTGGGGGCAGAGTGGGGAGACAGAGTCATTGACATGTGCTCCCATGGGATTAACGTGGCAAACAGAGAGAAAACACTAGTAATGATTGGTATTCAAAAGCAGCTAATCTAGTCACTTGGAAAGTGCCAGTTTGTGTCCTTGCCTTCAGACAGGGTTTATTTTCCTATCTGTAAAATGAGAATGACAGTCCCTGCTCAGCAGCCTTGCTGTGCCATGTGTTAGCAGTCATGGCTGCTGTCACTGTCTGGAGTGACTTGTCACTGTTCCTTTCCTTGGAATAGCAGCATTTCTGCTCAGCAAAGGCACAGCTAACCTAGAAGTAAAGGAGTGAAATCAGCAAGTGTGAGATTGTGCGGTGCACAGAAAGAGGAGGCAGCTTGTTCCAATAAAGCATGCGGTGGCATGTTGAGGTGGAGCTGTGAAACCAGACTGCAGGATGCAATCTAGGATCTGCCTGAGCTTTGTATGTGATAATCGGACAGTGACTGTGTTCTCTGCCGCCATGGCTGGCAGTATTTTGGAAAAGGGCTTTGTCACAAACATGCATAACTGATAACAATGGGTTCGTGAATGTAAATAAAAAACAACCAAGCCCCCACCCCAGAACACAGCAGATGATGACTCTGATTTTTCTTCTGTGGAAACTCTCATTTATTGCAGAGGAGGCTGAGGCCTACATTCCAGGCAGAGCAGTCTCACAGACCCATAGAATCGTTTACATAGGAAAAGACCTCTAAGATCAAATAGGCAGTTTCCAGGTGTGGTCTGCAGTGTGTTTTGATCCTGAAGCGTTGATGTGGGGCTAAGCTGTGAGGAATGAAATCCTGTGGCAGCACTAATGGCTCCCTGAGGTCACCCAGAGCTGGATCTTGGCTTCGGGCAGCAGCCGAAGCGATCCTGTGCAACTGGACAGGAGCTGGGAGTGAGTGGTGCCTGTTGTTCGATGGGGATGGCTCAGGCTTGGCCATCGTAACAAACTGTCAGTCATGAAGGAGCCCTCGGCCGCAGGGACCCGCCCAGCACCGCACGGCCCAGGAGCGGGTTCAGTTTCCGTGGGGTGTTTCCTTATGGAGGAGGCTGGTGCTCGCCTCTGGCAGAGGGACGGCTGCAGGGTGTGTGTGCCGGATCGTGACGTGCTGTCTGCGCGGCTGAGGCGCGTTCAGCGACATCCCGGTGCCGAGGCGGCCCCGCCGTGCCCTGGGCCGGCCGGAGCCGCGGGCAGGGCGGGCCCCCGAGCTCTCCCCGGGCCGAGCGGGGCTCCCAGCGCCGGGGCTGTGCCCTGTGCTGTTACCGGGCGGAGCTGCATCGTCAGCGCTGCTGCACAGCACAGCTCCCGCCACAGGGGCTGTCCGTGGGAGCGTTCTGTAACCAGCTCCACGCCAAACAGTGCTCCCCTCCTCACCCTCCCCTCATGCAGGGACGTTGTGGGGCTCGATCTCATGAGGTACGGCAGCGTTCAGGCACAGGCGTTCCACTGGAGTAACATCTGCTTCATCCAATGCCCAGAGGGATAAAATAACTGTAAGGGGATGCTGCTTCTTTTTTAACACTTTGTCTTTTACCACTTGGGTAAGAGCCTTTGTTCCAAACGCAGTCCAAGCTGCCTTTGAAATCAGCGCTGTTGTGATTGCACCCTCGTGCCCTGCATTATTTCCTCTCTTTTTCAGACAGTCTCATTCTGTTCCTCCCCTTACCAAGGCGGGCAAGCCCCGGGTGTTCGCAGCGCTGCGGTGTGACAGCGGCAGCCCGGGAAGGCGATCCATGCGGTGATCCCGGCGATCCATGCGGGGATTGAGTCACTCGCACAAGGTCACGCGAATCGCTGGCGCCTCCAGGAATAGCACCCGGAGCCTCCCGGCTCTCTCGAGCCCACCCTCGGCACTCCAGCCCGAATTCCCCTGGTGAGCATGATGTGATTCATAATGCAGCAGCTCTGCTGGGAGGCTGGCTACCTCTGCCATCCCGCTGCGGCTGCAGAGCAAAGCAGCCAGGCTCAGACAGCGACAGAGATTGCACATGCTTGTAGCAAAAAATCTAAACCCCAGAAGTGGTATTTAGCAGCTTATCTATAGATAAAATGTACCAAATGGTTAAAAATAGGTTTTAAGGTTCTTGGCATACATCTTGAACTTTATATTCTTTGGGTTTTGCTGCAGTACAAAAATACCATTTCAATTACTCTGATTCTTATTGGCTTTTTCTGGTCTTTTTGTAAAAGTACCAAATTATCGATGGGTGTTTTTTGCTTTTAATTGTGCCTCTTGAGTGCTAAACCTGTTCCTGCTATTTGCTTGCAGTATGTTTAGGCTATGTTTAGGCAAATGCAAATGTAAGTGGTTATTCAGTGCCTTTGGCGCTCTGAACAGAATGTACTGAACTCCTGGGGGTTGGTACAAAGCCTCGGCCTCCAGCACTAACAAAGCCTATGCAGGCAGCAGCTAAAATGTGAGAAATACCTGTGCTTGGCAGAGGGGATTTGGAGTAGCTGGGAGGACCATGGATCATGTGCCTAGCTTTTGTCCTGTGGACTGGGTGAATGGAATAAGAGCACTCCTGCCCACATGCTGTTAGCTGAAGGTGCTCTGGAGGTCTGGCCACGCTCACCCTGTAGCGCTGGAGCCGGCTGGCTTCAGCATGGGGCCTGTGGAGCCTTAACAGTGGGGAGTTTGCCAGCGAGGTTCCTTGCTGGCTGTATCAACAGTCAGCTCAGTGTGTTCCTGAAGCATAATGGAGGCTTTCCTTGGACAAACACCACAGCGCTGGAAGTGAAGAGAGCCAGCACGGTGCCACTGCCTGCTGTGTGTCCATTGGCAGCAGCTCGAGATTTTTACAGTTGTTTCCCTTCTTACCCAGCCTATTTTAAGCTCTGATGGAATAAGGATGGCATTTGATCACAGTATTGGGCACAACTGCTTGGCTTTTATAACCCATGTTTTAAACTGGAGGTTTTTCCACGTGTGTTTGTGTCTTCAAATAACTTCAGGCTTGTGGCTTTAGACTTGGTGCTCTCTGCTGGCCTTTGCCATGGCCTGACAAGAGAGATCCTAACTCGCTCCAGTGGGTGCTGGTTACTGAGGTGAGAACCCCTCAGAGGAAGTGGAGAGTGATGATTGGGGGGCACATAGAACAGAGCACTTCTGAGCCTCCATCCTGGGTCTAGGTCTCCTGATGGGAGTTGAAGATGTCTTTGTAACTCTGTCTCTTTATTTGTCATCTCTTCAGGTGTGCCTGTGTCTCCTGGTCTTGGGTTTATTGAGCAGGTGGCACACTATGTAAAGACTTTAATATCTGGTGCTACAGGATAAATCTCTCCCACTGTGGCAGCGATCAGCTGCTAATGCTGGGTCTAACACTGGTTCAGTGTTCATGTGCCTCTAGCACACGGAATGAACAGCCTCCATCTACCATGTCATGTACACATAAAACTGGTGCTCTGTGTTTTACTCTCAGGTCTGAGACTTCTTCAAGCAATGTGTCCTGCAAGGTCGGTTCCACACTTTTCAGTGGTGCATTTGTGGTTGTGGTGAAGCTTAGTCTTGTGTCACTTGTTTCAATGCTGTGCAGAGCGAAGCAGCAGGCTTGCTGCTTCCTGCAAGTAACTGCAGCCAGGAGATGGAGGTTTGCCATCTGGGAGGAAAACCAGGAATGTCATTAACAGGAAGTCGGGAGAAAAGGAACCTCTTGGCGGAGAGAGGGACAGTACAGAGAGGAGGAGAGGCAGGGACCAGGATGCCTGTCATAGGTGTCTTTTGTCTCCTTACGTCATAACCTGAGAAAGTCTGGAAGCCAAATCACCAAAGCTGCTGTTTTAAACTGTCTTTGAGTGGAAAGGAAATCCATGGGATATCCCTGCTTTATTCTGTATGAGTGCTTTCTAAGGCCCATGTAGATAACTGATATCCATAAAACAAACACGCATTAGTTGTCATTTGAAATTACATTTCTGCCCGTATATTTTCCTGCTTTCCTGTTTTGATGGCCAAGTTTTTATAAAACCTCAGCTTTTGGTTTTATATTTCTGAGCTGCACATATATATACCAGCTTCAGGGCAATTGTGCACCACATTTATACACACAAATATCTGATACCCGTGACACCCTGCAATTGGGGTTGGAGCCCTCACTCAGCCTTTAAAGCTGGAGCCCAGCTGGGGGCTGCTGGGCCACTGTGCTGGTGCTGTGTGTGTGAGGGACAATCACCTTTTGCATGACGTGAAATTACAGCTGATGAAACTTCCATCTGTGTATAGTGTGGGTTAGAAGGAAATCTGGAATAGCTGGCATGTTACAGTGAACTACAGTTTGTTCTGTTGGGGTCCCAGGGATGGCTCGTTACTGCAAATGCTGTTTCTCTCTGGAAAACCTTTACTTGCAGTAAAGAGGCAAACTGCAGTGATTTGGCTGAATGCATATGTCCTAGTTAGGACAGCTGAGACCAGTTCATCATGGTATGGGTGTAACCCAAAACTGTGTATTCTATAGCCTTCCACGCCATTTCCCAGAAACTGTTGTCAATAGACTATTCGCACCCTCTGCCCATAGAGCCTGACTCCTCAGGCTATAAACTAGGTGTTAAGAGGCCTGTGAGACAGGAGGATGCTCTTGTCCTCACACCCTTTGTGGAACTCCCCGCCCTGAGGGGAGTATTGGGCATTCCTGCCTGAACTGGAGGATATATAATCCTGGAGTCTTGGAACATTTTTACCCACTCGTGGGATCCAGAGGAAGACTGCAGCTCATCGCTCTCAACCAGACTTAGACCACCACCCTCAGCTGGACTGCAATCACCACTTTTGACCAGACTGCAACAGCTCTCCCACCAGCAGGTTTTTCCCCTCTCCCTTTACTTTGGACTCAAGCGGGGCCCAGGGAACACCACTTTGTTCATGCCCCAGGGTACTGGGTTATACATTTGGGTTTGGTGGGTTAAGACCAATTGTTTGTTTGTATGATTGTACTTACTGTATTATTTTAATAAATTGTTATTCTGACTTATAATCTCTCCTTTGAGTTGAGTTCATTTCCCCTGCTGGTTAACTCTTAAACCAGCACAGCATAACATCCCAAAAGTAACTCTGCAGTCCCTAAAGACAAGGCTGTTTGAGTCAGCTTTTAATGAGAAGAATACAAAGAATTTGATCCTTTAAAAATCTAGCTTAATTCATTGTCTAATTTTAGAGTACAGCTCCTCTACTACAGATCCTATCTGAGGGACAGCTCAGAATCACTGAAGCCAAGGCCAACATCCTATCCCATCCTGGTTTCACTAAATCAGATTTATTTATTCCCCCAGTGGATCTTATTCTTACACATACTTCATTGCTGTGTCCTTTCTGTTGTTTTCAGGATTATGAACCTTTCTGCAACAAGATCTGAAACAGCCAGATTCCAATTTAAATCAAAGTCCCTAGGATTCACTTGTGATTTCCAGTAAGGCTTCTTTAAGGTATTTATGATTAACATTATAATGTTATAAACATTTATTGTGGGTGTCTGAAATGCCATAGGAATTTCCTGCTGACCTTACAAAAACTTGTTACACTTCAGTACCCTTTGCTTATGATTTCCAAAACGACCTGTGTCCTGTAAAAGCAATTCTTCACAAAGATTTGAACGTGTTTTCCAGCACTTCCTGGGGGTGTCCTTGATCCAAGCTCTGGTTCAGTGTGTGTGCATAAGAAGCTGAAAGACAAACTGATTGCTTTTTGCAGCTCACCTCCATTTTTCCTCTTGTGCTAGTGGCCATAAAGCAGACAAGTAATTGAGAAATGGGAGCTGAAGACAGTGCTGTGTATGTATTTGTGAGAGCTGGTTGTCCTTCCTCCTCCTCTCCTCTTTACTCAGCTGTTAATGGATTTGGATCCGAAATGGAGAATTTTTGTCTGGCTGACAGCTGCCCTTGGCACTGCAGCTGCCACTGGCCCAGGGCTCCTGGCCCCGGACAGCCACCTGTCCTGCTGTCCCTGCAGCAGCTGGCTCTGGGTGACCAGCCTGCTTTACCTAAAGGCTGATACATCCGTGGGCTGTGACACAACAGACTGAGCAGCTGGAGGCTTTGGAGCCTGCAAAAAACAACAGAGTTGGGTTTTGTTGCATTTTGAGCTCTTTCTGGGGAAGGCAAAAGCAACACTCTGGCTTTCCTTATTGGTGTGGTCCTGATGTGCAGTATGGAGAGTTGCAAAGCGTGATGGGAGCAGACAGTGTTTGTGCTGGTGACAGGGGTTGAAATGTTTCCTGTCATGGAAAAGATGAACAAGCCAGTTCCACATCACCTTTCTTTTCTGAGACCTGTGAGTACTGTCAGTTCCTGCTATTTTAATTCATGAGCTTGCTGCTCTGTGTGGTATTAACACCATGGCTGTGCGTGGTCCAGTGGCACTTTCCCAGGAATGGATGAAGGGGGGGAGAGGGCACAAGCTTCCTGGCACTCCCTCCTCCTGTCTCTTGCCCTTCACAGTTTGCTGTGTTGTGCCCTGCTCGAGCTAAAGCAGGGACAGGAGAGCACAGAGACCACGATGGCAGCAGAGGAGGATGGCATAAAAGGACCTAAGGGAGAGGAAATGCAGGTGCCACAGGTAGAAAAGGCCAGAATGCCATGCTTGGTGCCAAAAATCTTGTTTATAGCCATGGTCAGCACCCTCTGCTGAGGAAAGAACAGACCTCCAGAAGTGTTCTCTGTCATGCCTGGCCACAGTGGTCCATACCTCGAGCAAGGAAAAAGCCATCCCTTCCTCCTGACGGGTGGAGGAACTTTCCCTGTCCTGAAGAAACTCCCCCTACATGTGTCCCCTATAGGGGCACTGCAGGAGTCAAACTCCTGCTCAGGAAAGCTCCAAGGGAGGGTAGCGAAAGGCCAGAGATAAGCTCACCTGATGCAGCTCTGGGCTTTTAGAAGCTCATGTTGCCAGTCAGACATGATGTATAAACCTCATTCAACTGGCAGAGGATGCTGTACTGATGGATGGAGTCTCTGTAAGGATGAAATAGTCAACTAAATTCTGCTTCTGAAGGCCTTACACGTGTGGAAAAGAGCAGCTATATTTGCTGGGACAACTAGTAGATGCAGAACCATCAGTCTCTGACCAGGAAGCACTGAAATACTAAATAGAAGAACTTGCAGGTTCTTTTTGAGGTTATATTTTCTTGCTACAATTGTAGGCAAAGAGGGCTGGATTTTTCTTGGCCATACACCTACAGTGGAGAGCCATGGATGCATTTGCCATTCTTATGGGCAGTCAGTATCAGGGTTGGCTGAACAGCAGCTTGTGCGGATGCACCAGGTGTTTGTTTTGCTCACAAAATTGGAGAATAAGATGCTGATTGCTCTTAAGGCTGTTCTTTTCCTAGGTGTTCTGAAAGGGACAGTTGGACAGAAATCCCCTTTAGTGAATCTAAGACACTTGGGTCTCTTTTATTGTCAAGGAGGGAAGATGGCCTAATTATCTCTGCTGTAGTTGTTGCCCCAGTCGATGGTGCATCTCTTGAGCCAAGATACCCCTTGCAGCAGATGTTGGTGGATACAGAACCAGACCGCCTGGAGTTTCCTTTCCTTTTGCTTCCTTGGGAGCAGGGTCTTCTCCCAGCCACCCTTAGCCAGCACGAGCTGCTCTTTCATAGACTGATGGATCCTTAACCAGCACGGTGGCTCTGTGTCTACTCAGTTTGCCCTGTGTTATCCAGCTTGCTCAGCAGCAATGAAGTTTTCTACTGCTTGATACCTTGAAAGTCTCCTCAAGTACATGGGGCAGGTCCTTCAGGAAGAGAAGCAGTGATTCAGTGCTGGAGCTGGCAGAGCCTGCCCATTCTTTATACTAGAGCTTGTTCCTCTGTGTGTTTGTGCACTCTTGCATATCTCCTCTCCAGCATTTTATCTCCCTCTTCTCTTTAGTGCTTTATCTCACTGCTGCTCTTTAGTGCCCATTATCTCTTGTCAGCTCTCTGGCTACAGAGTGGAGGACACTCTTTGGGGAAGTGCTGAGAATCGGCCTCCTCTGGCATCTTCAGGAGTGCTGCACATGTGGGTGATGAGTGTTTCATGTGAATGTGCTTCTCTTACCATGGCCATATAATACACACATAATCTTGCTGCTGTAGGCTTCTCTAGTACACCCCAGCCTTTGGTTTTCCCATCCCTGCCTGGGCTCTCTTTTGCGAGCAGCTGAAGGTGAGTAGCCTGGCTGCTGTCTGGCTGCATCCACCATCCTGATTAACTTTCCTCTTTCATTCATTAATGGGTGCATACCCACCTGTCTGGAAATCATTCTCCACCTCTGGTTGTGAGTGATACCTGTGTGTTTGGTTCGTCTTCCACCTCATGGTCCTGATTCTCCTCCCATTCCTAAACAGCGTGGCTCTGCTGCACACAAGAAAATCACACCACAGGCTGGAGTGAGCCAGGAAGTCTTGTCCCCAAGTGGCTTTATGCTCTTTAAAGATACCTGAAGGAGCCAGAGAAGGTGAGTGGTGTCCAGAATATGCAAATGCAGGTGTGTGACAAATGAACTAGTTGTCCATTTTTTGGTGAAATGAATAAAGCAGGTGTACCCAGACAGGCAGGGTACTGGTGAGGGACTTCCTTGGTGCCTTTGGCTGCAGGAAGCGTGTCTGCCAAACTGGGAGCCTGGTGAGCAGAACCCAAACTCACATTTGCCCCCAGTGCCACATTATTGCTTGTGGGCTCCTGCCCTCAGCCTGTGGTAACAGAAGATGAGTAGCTGGCAGGAAGGTAGCAAGAATGTGCTACTTAAACATAGGTTGCTAATGGCTGTGTTCTCAGTGCCCAGATGTGTGGCTGCTCTGGGATGCCGGGACCTCCCTCTCTGCTGCAGTAGACACTTCTATTATTAGCTTAGTGGCAGCTTTCCATATGCCAACACTCGTGACTGCAGGACTATTTAATTTTCACTTCTCTGAATTATTTAATTTGTCAGCTGTTGGCTGCTATTCATTAAGGGCCAAATGCCAAAGTCCTTACCTAGATTTTTTACTCTGTTAGGGCTGAGGCATGAATCCTGTCTGAACAGACCATTATATCTGGGCAGGATTGGAGGCAGGATAAGGTCTTGAATCTAGAAAGTCAATCGTTACTAGGCTAATCAGTAGAAAACCCTCGTCTTCAGGGATAGGTGTCTAATCTCCCTTCTTCTGGTAATTTCTGTTTGGAGAAATGAACCATCAGTTCTGCTAAAAGCACTGCCACTCCTCTTTTGGAGCTGGACTGTGTGGATGAGGTGTGCGGATGCTGGTGCCTGGCTGCAGGTCCTGGCCCCTCTCTGATGTGAAGAGCTGCTGCTGTGAGCAAATCACCCTGTGATTCACTGCTGGGGGCCTCTCTTTAATTATTGAGTGCCAGAATAGATGTATATTGAGTTACCTTGCTGGCAAATATCATCTCCAGCATCTCGTGTAACTCTACAATATTCTTGGTTTTCCTACTTGCATAACATGGTCTTTTTCAAAGAATCTAAAATAAGTCAAAAGGTGGGTTTATATATTGCTTCTCTAGTGGTACATGTTTCCAGAGAACAACAGGTTGTAGACTGGTTTTGAGGGCAGTCTTCCCTGGCAGCATGGATTGCTCTTCTATAAAGTCAGGTCTGCACTTGGATGCGCAGCGGGATGAAGCAGGATATGTAGGGCACGTTTTCAAACCAACAACCAAAGAAAACCAAAACCCAAACCCCCAAAAAACTCAGAAAAGGAGAGAGCAGCCTAATTTTGCTCTCACTGCTCTGAAGTATTCCATTTGTCAGCTGTTGTTGTGGAAGACCTGGCTGACCTGTCTTAAGGGCACTGCAGCCTCTAGTTCTGGACGGTGGTGCATGACCAGAAGGTTGCCTGCATCTGTGCAGGGCCATACTGGAGTCACTGGAAGGAACACATGGAGGTGTGGGGGAAGAGAAAACCAACATACATGTTTGTAATCTTTCCCAGCTTGCAGAGAGGCATATGGCTGCCAGAGTTCCCTCATCCCTCCTCTGTCCTGCTGTCACACAGAGGCTGTGAGCAGCAGTTTGCCTCAGATCCCTTGACCTTTAGTTCCCGTAAAATCCTCTGGATAATGTAGTCTAGAGTGCTCACAGCCACGATACAACTTTTATATATGTTCTCTCTAAGTATAGCAAGCAAAACTTGTCATTCCTTATTTTGCAAAAGAAAAAACCTCCTGAATTTCGTATAATCCTGGTGACAGTTTACAAAAGAAAGGAAAAACATTACCCAATGCCTAAATGGAAGGAAAGGCAATGCTGTGGTTAGTCGAACACTTTGTCATTCACAGGTTTCAGGGAATTTCAGGTGGCAGGCAGGAGTCGTGAGCCCGAGGTCCCTCCTGTGTGACGCCCCAGGTCTGTCCTGACAGCAGTGCTGGCCGGTGCTGACAGAGTACAGAGTAACTTCAGCTGGGATCTGTGGTACTGCTGTGTCCCTGGCTGCTGAGAGCAGGGAAGGAGGGCTCCATCTACTGCTGTGCAGGGAGAAGGCAAAAATAACCGGGATGGCATTCCTCCGCTGCACAGAAAAGCTACTGGGTACCATGGACTCCAGGTACATTTTTTTTTTTTTTCTTCTCCCTGTGGCTTTCAGAGCCCTCCACATCCAGTCTAGTTCCCTGCCTGGGACACTGTACAGCTCTGTAGCTGGAGACAATCCACACTTGGCCATCATGGCACAGCAGGCAGGGGGTTGCAGAAAGCAGCAGGAAAACAAAGTGACTTGTACATGCACAGAGAGAATTGGGAGCAGAACCAGAAACGAGTCCTGATTTCCAGTCCGTTTCTCTGACAGGATGGGGTTCATGCTCCAAAACGTGTTGAATGCAGAGAGTTCTTGGAGGGCTGCTGGAGCAGGGATGAGTTCTGGATAACACATAGTTCTGTGGCTTTTTGCTTGGTTTGCCACTGCTCTGTTTCTGAACTTCCTGTCCATGTACAGGCAGAGCTGTATTCTCTGTACGTGCGTGTGCACAGGCATTTCTGGGAGAACTGAGCCCTGCACAAGCCATAGGTCTCTCTTCTCCAAGCTCGGGGATGCAGAGAGGGGTGGGAGCTCTGAACCCATGGCCATGTGAGCGTTCTGCAAAGCATATTCAGGCCTCGATATTTCCCACTAAAATCCCACCCTCTGCTCTGCTGTTGTGCTGTAATAGTGGAGTGGGTTGTCCAAAGCAGCTGTGGCTGCCCCATCCCTGGAAGTGTTCGAGGCCAGGTTGGATGAGGCTTAGAGTAACCTGGCCTAGTGGAAAGTGTCCCCACTGATGGTTTGGGGTGGTGGACAAGATGATTTTTAAGGATCTCTTCCAGCCCAAACCAGTCTGTGATTCCATATTGAAAACTGAGAATTTTCCCCTGCCCTTTATCCTTGGATTCAGCTGAATTAAGCCCCACTGTGCTGGGTGAGATACTGTTAAATATCGCTGGTACTGCCCAGGTTGAATAGCTCCTGAAGGACAATGTGTACAGTGTGGGTCTAGAAAAACAGATTTCAGGATTTAGAATATGTGGAAAAGGTGCTAATGTTCCTCTGCTGGTAGTGAGAACACATTATTCGGTGCTTGCAAGGCACATCAGAAGTGTCTGGATCCTTAGGCTTCCACAAAAAGCTTCACTGATAGTTCTGCACTTGATGGCAGAAAGAGTTTGTGCTTATGTTACTTGACTGCGAGAGCTTGTCTCGAGTTATGTGAACAGATGTTTCAGATTTGAGTTCAGTCTGGCAGAAAAGGGAGAACAGTATAGTCCCCAGCATTTCCCATCTTTTGCCTGGGAAAAAAAAAATCAGCAGTGATTTTCTTTTTTTTTTTTTTTTTTTTTGCTGGATTTTACCTTACCATGAAACTGAAATGCAAACTCCTGGAAAGGAGGAGATATTCACTTTTATTCAGCCCACTACTTCTCGTTCACACCTGTTTGCTCAGCTGCCTTTTACTTCTCCGTGTTTTCACCTGTAGAGCTGCAGTTATCTCTGATAAACATCACAAGCCCCCCAAGTCCCCCTCTCAGAAGACATGGTCTGCTTTCCACATCTTGGTGTGTGTTACACAGCCAGGCAGCCCTTCGTGTAGCAGCTGGTGTGCTGCAGCAAGAGGAACAGCAAAAGAAACTAAAGTAAAATACTTCTCCTGACACAGCTGTCAACAATTACACTGTGTGAGGCTTCACTGGCAGAGGTTAGAGAGAAGCCCAGAGAAATCTGAAACAGCTTTCAAAAGAAAGCACTGAAAATATGTGCCAGAGACCAAGGAATAGATTGCAGATGGCAAATATACGTCTCCACGGACTGTCAGGGAAGAATTTGGTTTGACAATGGCTGTGATCTACCATGTTGCTGCTGGATCAGACTGAGAGCAGCAATATACAGAAATAATTAAGTCAGATAAGCGGGCCCCATACAGATTTTTTTTGGAGAGTTCACCCATATATTCAATGGACAGATCCCACAGACTGCTGGGAGGTGGAGGACCCTCCACCCTTGCTGACATTGCTGTGTTGTGATGCTGACAATAGGCTGGCATCCTGTTGTCAGTAAACCCTAGGGACCTGTTTTAAGGCAGAAGATGTTGTTGTCGCTCCCAGTCTGGGACAGGGCAGCGAAATGCTCTGTTGAGGCTGGAGAGCAGTGAATGGTGACAGTGGAATGAATGACATGTTGAAAAGTGCCCTTGGCATGTCGCTGCAGAGCTGGAGAAGATCAGATCTGCTGTGAGCAGTTAATGAAGAGATAAAAAGCGAGGGGAGTGCTTGCACCCAGCACCGGGAGCGTGCGGGGCGCTGGGGACTGCGGGCACAGGCTGGCCCACCCCATCGCCGGGGGAATGAATCCTCTTGGTTGGGGTTTAGCCAGTGACCCTGGTGGCTGAGCTGCTGGCTGAACGTGGCCACGAACAGCTTCTCAGAGGCCATGAAATCTCTGGAACTGGAGGAAGCAGAGCTGAACATCTGTGTGTGCTCCCCGGGACTACTGCGGCCAGTGTGGCAGAGCTGTCCCCATCCTCAGGCCAACCTGGCCTCAGTTGGGAGCTCTCTCGGCAGTGAAGGAGCACAGAAGGAGTCAGTTGATTGTAGGCCTTCGTTTATGTGGCATCAGGGTCGTGCTGTAGGCAGTCTGTGGAAGTTTGCTGTTGTTGCAGCAGTGTTTGTATCTTAGTCCCTCAGCTTCCCAGGGCTTTCAGCACTGTGCAACGTGAGGAGTAGCTTGCCTTTTCCTTGGTCACCCCTTTCTTTCACAAAGCACCTGCTGGATTCTCCCAAATTAATAATTTATTCAACTCTCTCACACTGCAGCCTAAACCTTGCCCATGGTGATGCAGCCCACTAACAACAGCAGGTTTGAATAAGGCTGAAAGTTCCCCAGGTGCTGGGAGAAGATTCTGGAATTGTCCCCATTGCTGTGCCTGGAGGAGAGCTCGAGGGTGGTAGGAGATGGGGATCCGTGGGGCGCAGTGAGCATGTATGAAGTCGCATCTGAAATAGCTGAACTGTAATGTTTTCTCTTGAAAGAAGTGCTGAGAGAGGCCACAGATGCTTCCTTTCTGTGACTCAGAAACTTGCAAATCTTCTTTGATTCACACCTTATAAGTAAAATTAGCCTGTGCCTCACTGTTGCCAAACATTTTCAAAGCAAAGATACTTGTACAAAGGAATTCAGCAACAGAAATGGAATTTGCTCGTGGATCAGATTACTGTTATTTCTGACTGGGAGCAGCACCAGAAATACTTGCAAGGATTTCCACTTTGCCTTTGGAAAGGTGTGCATGTTGTTGCCAGAAAAGTAGCTATTTGGGAGGATAATTCACATATGTTAGGGGACAGGGAGAGGGATGAGACCCATGAGGCCGCCGCAGTCATGAGTACAAGTGTTCAGCTTCACGCTGTAACGTTCAGTCACTTTGGAACAGGGATCTTCAGCTGTTGCTGTCAGAAATGTTGTGACATGAGCTGCAATTGCTGCTGCTCAGATGATGTTTTTAGTCCAAGGTCTGAGCTTTCACTCAGTGTGGTTCTTGATGCTGCTTGTCCCAGGATCTCGGCATCCCACAGAGCTGTCGGACATCTTCCCGCACGTGGGGACTCTGCAGACAGGACCTAATGAAAGGAAGGATTTTCTTGGCATTTAAATTTGTCACATCATTTGTCACAATCATTTGTCACACTGTTGACTGTGATGTTACCTTGAAACATGAACTTACCATCAGTTGGGAGCATTGGCCAAAAAAATCTAGTATTTAAAATCCATGCTGGTCAGGGTCTATATTTTGCAGACAGCTGTAAGCAAGGCCTCAGTCCCTGTGATGATGTTCTCCTTGAGGATGGAGCTTGATCCATCCATGGAGCTGGGCTTGAAGGCCAGTGGACCCAGGCAGCCCTCAGAGGGGGGTTCCAGGCCCCCAAGCCTGTCTGCCCACTGGCAGCAACAGCAGAATGTCACAGTCCCCTCTGAATGCCAGGATGGAGCAGATGTCCCCAACATTGTCAGCTCCCTGGGGTAGGCAATGACAGCCGTGACCTGTGGGCTTGGAATTCAGAAACCTGATTGCTCGTAGTCTACAGGGGGGAGTTTTAGAATAAAACCACAGGGCTCTGATCGTACCCCGAAATGGTGATGTAAATGGTGGAAGGAACAGATGTCTGTAGTATACTATAGAGGTATGGAGTGTGTGTAGTATAATACATATAATACACATTTCTATTCCTGGCAAACTGATAGTTTAAAGCAAATGAGTAAAAAAGGATTTTACTTAAGAGAAAGTTAGGCATGTTACATTGGAAATAGGACTGGTTATATTACTTTACCCCCAAATAATATGCTTGATATCTCTGGGTGTGAAGAGAAATCTTGCTAAGCAATGACGCATTTTTGTGTTCATCCTGGCCATGTTTGTTCCTTCTGCTGAATGGACTGTGCACAGAGAAGTGTCTCCAAAGAGTGAATTTTTTGGCCCTTTGGAAATGTATGAACGGGACAGCACCATATGGACTTGGCATGCCCCAGGGATGGCTGTGGGAGCCTGGGAACATTCCGTGCCTGCAGCAAGTGTAGGAAGAAGGAAGGAGGAGAGCGGAACGAGAGGCTGCAGGGAGCTGTGTGGGGATGGCACTGAGCAACATGGCTGCACTGGCAGGGCCCAGCCATGACCAGGTCTCCATCACAACTGAGGTGAGAAACAGGCCTTGTACCATGCCCCTTCCTGCCTCATGGGTCACAGCAGAACTGGGAGATTCCTGTGAAGGGCCACGGTCAACGTCTGGAGCAGAGGCTGCAGGTAAAATTGCTGTCCAGAGCAAAAACAAGGCAAGTGCTGAAGGAAGGGATGGAAGAGAGGCTGGCTTTGTAAGCTCAGTGCTATCAGCAATCAGAGGCTTCAGTTGTGTGTAGAGGTGGGAGCATGCCATGGCTTTTCAAAATGTACCACCATGAGGTGATGTATTTATGGCTCAGAAACTCCAAATGTTGTACTGAACAATGAATTAAAGATGAAACCATAGAGCTCTTGCACAAACTGCAGGTGAGCACAGAGCAGGTGTGCTCATCACAGGCATAGAGAGCCTGCAAGAGGTGCACACAGCCATATCCTGCACAGCAAGTCTGCAGCATATTTCTCTGAGGCAGAGCAATTGTTGCTTCATTGCCCTGACTTGCAGCTGTAATGGCACCACGTTGGGTCTCTCATTCTGGATCTTAGAGAAAAACACCCTCAACTTGTAAATAACACATAGAGTTAAATAGGGTGTGTTTTCTGCTGCCCCAAGTGTGTGGTGCATCTCAGGGAGGTCAAGGGAAAGGTTCACATGACTTTCAGCAGGTGTTGTTGCCCACCTTATGTTCTGATTCACTTGCAAGATGTGCTCATTAGAGGCCGGGCTTGTGTCCCACTCTGGCAGCCTGAGCTGGTGTTGAGCATTTGATGCTTTCACTCCCTGACTTGTTAACATAGGCATCTCCTTTTGCTCAGAACAGCAGCAGCACCAGCCTGACATCACCGACAGAGGTACCTGCACAAAGGACCAGGTAATGCCACGCCACTGCCCCTCCTGGTTTCTGAAGAGCTGTGTCTTGTGTTCATGCACTGGTGATGGTTAGTGATGGTTCCTGTGCCCTGGCATTGAATATCACATCCCATTTTTGTGAAATGATGCTGATTTGCAGGCACAAGATCTCTTCAGATCTGTGCCTACCCCAGTAACCACTGTGAACAGCACAAGCCCTGGCAGAGGTGCCAGAATCCCCCTGTTTGCGAGGTATGCCAAGCTAGCAGGGCTCCTACTTGTGGAGCAGGAAGAAGCATGAATGGGAGTGGATTGTAGAATTATTTCAGTCAAGAAAATTCAGGGATGTTAATTGCTGAACTGTCATCAATTTCAGTGACTGCAGAGCACAATTAGCCTCTAATTTTAGTTTCATGCTAATACCGTTGTCAGTTCTCTCTGTGCAGCAGGTGATGTGGTTTTAGATGTGTCTCTGCAACTGCTTTGTGCAGGGAGTTAGTTCCTAGAACCTGACACCCAGCAGGGGAATCAGGCCAGTGTTTGGAAATGCTTTGAAAGGCCCTGGGGTTTTTATATGATTTGTTTTACTGCTGTCCCACTGCTGTCACTCCATGACCCACACGGGCACCAGCACAGTTTTCCCTCAGCTGATGCCCTACTTGGCAAAAGATAAAGCTCAGCACAGTCCTGTTGGGGCACGCTGGCTCAGAACTGAAGTGGGAGGCTGCTCATGGCAGGGTGCTGTAGCCATGGGCCGCTCCAGTCCCATACCTGTGAGCAGCGAGGAAGGACTGGGGTGTCCCTCAGGCAGTGGCCTCCTGTGGCTCTCTGCTGTGTGTCCCTGGGACATGCCAGGAAGGAGGGTCAGCTCTGTCCCACTGCTGCTGGCATGGTCCCAGTGCAGCTGGCTGCTCTCCTGGCTGTGCTGTGCTGTGCTCCAGGCCCAGCCTGCCCAGAGCCACCGGCACTGCCGAGGGCAGGAATTCCCACTGCCACTATTTTGTGCATCCTTCTGCTCACAGGTGTCCCCGTGTTATCCCTCATGGATCTTGAACTGGTGTAAAAGTGGTGCCTAGTGGGGTAGCCTGGGCCCTCTGGAAACACCTGGGCACAGTTGAGTTTGGAGCACAGTGGGGAGGTTGGTTCTTTTCTGGAAGATACCAAACACGTAGATGGGAGCATGTGGGAGTTGAATGCCAGCATTCCTGCCAGGAGCTCAGCACCTCCATCCATCGGACCCATGGGGTGGAAAAAATGTCCATAGAACATAGAAGTTTGTTTAAACATGTATTTGATGTTAGTGAGTGGACCCACAGCAGAGGTTTTTCTGACTTTGAAGCCGTTTGCTGGCATAGAGCAGCTGAGCTTTATTTGCAGATAATTGTTCTCCAGTGCATTTGAAGGTGGGAACATAGTGACATGTTAGCTGTTGACATGGTCTGGGCTTCCCTGTTGCACTCTCAGCCATCCTGGAGGATGCACAGAGGCTGGAGGATGTCAGGAATGCCATAACAGGTTTTCCACAAAGACAGCAGAACTTTGTGAAGCTTCAGAGACCTCCACTGGCTCATGCTGCTTCTGAGACGTCCAAGACGATGGTCACTTATAAGTCCTTACAGCTCCTTATTGAAAGTCTGAAGGCTGTTTTCCAACAGAAAAACCTTTTCTGGCATTATTTGTGCTGGAGTGACCTTCAAACTGCTGCTAAAAATTGACAGCAGAGTAGATATGACAGCCCTGTCAAGGAATGGATAATCTCCCATCTTTAAATACACTTTCTATTTATGTTGGCCAGGTACAGACTTCTCAGGATTTTGCCTGCTATCCCAGACTAACACTTCAGAAGTGCCACCAAGAAAACTTCTCTGCAAATCTCTTTCTATTTCAAAACTTCTTAACTGAATAATGTGAGTGGCCAGATACATTCCTGCCTGTTGAAGCTCACAATAGAAGAATGTTCAAAAGGAAAAGGAAAATATTTGGAAAGTATTTTTTTTACTATCACGCAGACCTGGAAATTGTATCAGCTGAGGAGATACACCAGTTGTTCCTTCAGCTACATTTTTTGTGGTTAGTTTATTTTTCATGTTTATCAGAATGTTTCAGTTCATACCTGAGGCACCTCAATCTCTGCAAGTGTTGGGTTCCCCCAGAAGGGGCCAGAGGCTCTGTGTGCCCCCAGATTGGCCAGCAGACATCTGCCTTGTGTTAGGGGAAACATGATCTTCCTGCCAGCTCGGACCCACGGGTGGGGATGGGAACACTGTGAAAACCTCTGCTTAAACACACACAGAACCCAGTGTTTCAGGATAAATAAGCAAAATATACAAAGAAATAAGTTGCCTCCATTTTATCAGCAAAAAAGATGAGCATTTTTCAGGAAAAGAATGATGTTGTTCCACACCCTTTTGTAGAAGCTGCTGGGGATGCTGGATTGGTCTCTATCCATGGGGTCCAGGCCACAAAGGGATGGTGGAGACTGCCTTGGCTTTACCATCTGACTCCAGATCTGGCTTCTGGATTTCTCTGCCAGTACAATCACCAGGGCCTAGCTGGAGTTAATTGAATTAAATGGGACACTTGCCAGGGACACCAGTTATCTCTTGCAGTCATTAGCACAAGAACGGTGTAAGGATTAGCTCTTGTTTGCTGTCTCAGGTGTTAGTGGCAATATACCAGCTGACAAGTTAAGGTCTTGTCAGCAGCAGCACGTTCTGGAAGAGGCAGGAGCTTCTCTGGCTGATAACACACATATCAGTGTTTAAAAACGCAAGTATTCCTCACTTCAAATAGTTTAATGAGTTTCATTTCTTCTCTCTTTTCAGCTGGCAACCTGCCCTGCAATTTCCAGGGACAGCAAACCTGTGAGACAGGTGCACTCACTGTGTGACTGAGGATGCTCTCCAGCCCTGCCGTGCCAGGGGAGCGGGGCCGTGTGTGGGGTGAGTGACAGGGGAGTCACATGAACTCTGCAGTGGGAGAGGGAGGAGCTGGACTTTTGGAATCTGAAGGATATTGCTCTGATAAATAATGAACAGATTTAGCTACTGCAGGAAAGTGTGGGGATTTGTGGTTTGCTGTTTTGGATGAGAAGTCCTGGTCTCGAAGGTCTGTACGATTACTGAGGAAGCAATGGGCACGTGCCCGTGTCGCACCCACAGCAGTGCCCATGTCCTGTCTGCAGTGGTGCCCATGCCCATATCCCATCTGTGGCAGTGCCCACAACCCATGTCCCACTCGAAGCAGTGCCTGCTCTTGGTGGGCCACATGAAGTGCTGCTGCTTTCTGGGACTGGGGAGCAGTAATGAACAAATAGAACTGAAGATGAAGTGCTGGGGAGCACTAATGAACAAGAGGTCCCGCCAGAGCCAGAGGAGCTGTGGCTGATCTGGGCTGGACTGGGTCCACAGTGGGTGAGAACAGCTGGGGCAGTTCCACAGCAAAGCTCAATCTTCTGGCTTTTTGGCTTCTTCATGGATTCATTCTCCCATGACCCACTTGTTACGGGCAGGCTCTGTGGTGACCCCTCCAGACTCTGAGTACTGGGAAAGGCCCTTTGCTTGGGACAGTAATTTTAAATTCTCTTTGAGGGGCCTTAAAAAGTGCTGAACTTTCAAGTTAAATTCTTGTGATTGAATATTTATTGTTGAACTCAGCATGAAATGTAGAACAAAGCCTAAATCTAGGAGGGATGCTCTGGACCTTGGTGCAAATGCTGACAGCATTTTTAATATGTACTGTATTTTAGTGGTGAATGCTTAAAATTATTCTGGTGTTTTGTGTCCTCAGCTGTTTCTCTCTCTACTGTGGTTAGCCTTAGAGTCTGCACTGGAATGAGTAACACATTAGTACAGGGATTTTGTGGCAGTGCCGTGGAGTCAGAGCCCCGTTACGGCCCTGTCGTACGTCAGAAGAACGGCTGACGAGTTCCTTGGTGCTCACACGACTATAACAGGGTCGACTGTCACCTGGGTGGAGCCTGCCTGTCCAGGATCACCAATCTGAGCCTATTCTGTCATTGGAAAATTGTTCATTCTCATGGGTACGTCAGAATTAATGTTGTGTGGCGGTGGGAGCGCGGTTCAGTGCAGGGTCAGCGCGGTGCTGACGGGCAGTCTGGGGCTGCCAGCCATGACCTTGGCCCAGCCTGCTGGGGCCAGTGCCAGTGCCAGTGCCGAGGCACAGCTGTTAATAGCTCCTATACTCTGCAGTAGTATCAAGCAATATCAATATTCAGGACTTGGGCAAATCCAAAACCCCACAAAATGCCTTTTGTATTGTTTGACAAAATCACATTAGTGTTTCTTTCATGTAAAATATCCACAGGGTTTTGCTGCTTCCAAAGACAAATGCATTCCAAGTGGTAACTGCAGTAACTAGTAAAGAGAATTATAACTGCTACTGACAGAAAAAATGCTGTAATGATATAATACAAGAAATAGCCTTCATTAGTGTCAAAATGAGGCAGATGTGAAACATTATGCTGATATTTCCTCAGGGGTAGCACTTAAGTAGTTCTTTGCTTGCAGAAAGGTATCACAAAAGGTTTGGATCAGAGTAAGTCAGCTGGAGTTTATCAGAGTTGAGAAATATGGCACAGAGAGAGCCTTAAAAGGTGCTCTTTGTCCCCAGACCCTTCAGTGTCCTGAGGGGATGCTGAAACATGAGCTGCTTGTACTAAGGGAAAAGCAAGAATGTTCAGCTGGGGGTGTTAGAGGAGAGGCACGTACCCCACCACCCCTGTATGATGGGCACAGCCAGAGGCTCCGGGTTTTGCAGTGCAAGAGGATGTCAAGGCACTTCCCATACTTGTACAGAAGTATCCCTTAAAGGGGCTCTGTTCCCAGCTGCAGTGCCTGCTTTGCCTGGGGAGCACAGCTCAGAGGTGGTTCCTTATGCTGTCACACTGAGCTGCTCACGTTGGCGGATTCTTTTCTAAGAGGAGGTGTCAGATTGTCTAGCCAGCTGAAGGAATCCAGTTGGCAGGAGAGTGACTTAATAAGTCACTGAGAATTTTAAAAACACTGTGGTTCTTTGTTTAACAGCCAGATTCTACAAAATTAGCGCCAGCTCTGAGATGATTTCTCTCATCACCCTCCCTGTTGTGTCCCCTGCTGTCCTGCATGTCTCTGCCTGCCCTCACTACCTTGTGTTGTCTGGTACAGATGGGTGCTGGGGTCACTCTGCCCATCCCCTGCAGGGATCATGCCAAGGTCCCTGTGTGCCCATGAGAGTCCAAGACCAGGTGGCCGAGGAGGATGAGCAGCCTGGTGCCTGGTGCTCCTGCCCACTGTGTGTGCTCCTGCAGGGACTTCCTTCTTCTGGGAGGGAGAGTCTGAAATAACCCCCTGTGGGAATGTGGGACTTGTGTGGGCAGGTGGCAGAGGTCTGTCTGCTTATGGACACAGGCGGGCAGGGAGACCCCACATCCCCCCCAGCGCCCTGCAGACCTTACCCAGGGCAGTTTTGGAAAGGGATGAGTTCAGCCACCAAGAAACAAGGAGCTTTGGCCACTTGTCACTGTCACACTCAACCACTGGGGACTTCTAAGTCCAGGTATGACCAGTCTTCGCGAGGGAAGATTTGGGAAAGGTCATTAACCCTTCGAGCCTGCGCAGTGGATTTTTTAGGTGAGACCCAGCGTGCGCTGAACTGAGCCCACCCTTTAATCCTGAGGTTCATCTGCTGGGGCCGAGCAAGCTTGGACAGTGGCAGTGAGGGTCTCAGGACGTAGGTTTGTTTAGAGTGACCTTCTCTAAGTCCAGTGGGAGTTTAAAACACTCAGAGCCTGCAAACACCTTTGCAAGGAAAGAGGAACTCTGTGCTATAGCCCTAAACCTGCTCCACAGCTGCTCCTTGCTCCCAGGAAAGTGCCTTTTCCTTGCTTTTTTTCTGGTCTCTTTTTTTCCTTTTCCTCTCTGTTGAGATGGATGAGGACAGGAGCTGACTGCCTGTACTGCTGCCTGTCCCTGGTAGGGGTAGGGCGACTCTTCCACTGCTCAGAGGTGCTGCTGAACCTCTTCTCTCTGCCTTTGCAGGGTGCTGTTCCCCTGTGCACTGACCAGGGCTGAGTTTGGACATTTCACATCCCCCCAGCCCTGAAGTGTTTTTCCAAAGATATTTCTTCCCTTCTCTTCACCTGTGCTCCTCTTCATACCTTTCCAGCTTTAAGAAAAGCATCCCTAATGGTTAGTGGACACCTCCATAGTGGGGAACATCACTTTGATCTGTGTTAGTGACACCACAGGGTTTGCTCCCAGCATGTCCTGCAAGGAGAGGGCTCAGAGTCAGCCCCAGATCTCCCAGCAATCTCCCTCCACTGGCTTTCCTTCCCATGGTGTGTGTCAGACACCAGTGCGGCAACACCATTCCAGGAGGGACCCTCTCATGGCCGGCAGCTCCCGAAGCCCTCGGGGCCGAGCTGCCCACAAGGTGCTGTTGGAGGAGTGTCCCAGGGGTGCTCTGGGGAAGGTGGGGAGCCCTCCCTGCTCCCTGGGAGGTGAGATGGCTCCGTGGTACCACTCGGCTCTGTCCGAGTCTGGCAGCGGGGCTGCTGTGGTTTGGCTCTGTCATCCACAAACCCGTCGCTTTCTTTTTCAAATGTACCTTCATAACCTCAAGCAAACGCAGATGTGACTGAAATTCTAGGCAAAGTGCACTACAAATGTTACCCCTTCCCTTCTTTTCTACCTTCTGCCATTTGATTTATTATTTCCTTTCCCTTTCAGGTCTGCTGTTTTCTAGTTGGAGTGATTTTTATAGCCTGTATTATAAGGAAACCCACACGTGAGGAAAGGAAGAAGGAATTAAATGGAAAACAAACCACAGGCCCAGCCATTAATCCTTCTGGGGAAAGAAGGGCCTGGCCTGGATTCTTCAGCATCCAACCCACTGTGGGACACACCAGGTGAAAGTCGTCAACAGGTACTGAAACAAAGAGGGAGTGAAGATTAAATGGGGACTTGATGGGCTCAATATAGACAATTCTACCCCTCTGCAGTGACTTCCAGAAATGGGGGGGATTCTGCAGCCAGTGTGATTTGGCCAATACCCAAAATATAACACAGAGATTTGACAGTAGGGATTGCAGATAGAAAATGTAGCATTCTCTGGCACAGCTGTCATATTATACTAAGCCAGTTACTTCCCTTTAATCCTAATTAATACTCTCTCTTTCCAGTCTGAGCTGAGTCTCTGGTCAGCCATCGTTCTGGGGGATCTGCTGCTGCTCTCCCACTGGAGCCTGTTCCTTTGTGCTCTTTCCATGAGGAGCAGCCAAAATCATGAATTAAACATTGCTGATATTAAAGAGGACTCCTGGCATCTGCCCCAAATGGAGAAATCAACGTGTCATTCATTAAAGATATCCACACTTGTACAGGGAACACGTGTTTGCCAGATGGTGCCAGTTCAGGATTCCCAGAGGGAGCAGGAGAGGTCCATCCCTGCTGAATGCCAGAGCCACCCCAGTCCCAGGGTCCCCCAAGGATCTTCACTCCTCTCCCTGCAGCCTGGCAGAGATGCCCCTGGGCCTCTCCCAGCTGAAGCTGTGTTGTGACCCCAGACTGCCAAGGAAAGTACAAAATTGATGTATCCTGGGGGAGGGAGGCAGGGGTGTGGGCTGAGATCTGGTGTCTCAAGACCATTCTTTAGACAGTGCTGATCCAGACTGTCTTATTCCCAGCATTTTTCAAATTGTGTTATTTCCTACAGTTTGCAACTACACACAGTAGTCAGAGGTTATGACACGTGGCTGACTTTAAAGGACACTGTCTGTAACAAGTGCTATGTACATATTCTATAAATGTTGTTATACCCTGTATTTTATAGCTTTAGACTGCAATAAATGGGGACAAACTATGTGCTTGTAGTGTGAATGGAATGGTTTGGTCTGTGTTTTTTTCTAATTGTAGAATTTCATATTTATTCAAAGTAGATCTCCGTGTGCAGGTTATGAAGTATTTCCTTCCAAACACAAGATACTTGCAGTTTGAGTGGATCTTGACTTGCATCAAGGAATCAAAGCAGGCACAAGGAGAAGCAAGTACAATATGTCAGACAGTGGGTCTTTAACTGTGCAAAAAGGAGCAGCACATCAGAAGGTGTCATTATTTCTGTTCCTCACTGCTGGGCACAGTGAGCCCGGAGCAGGGAGTGGGGCTGTGTGGGGCTGGGGAGCTCCAAGGCAGCACAGCAGGTTGGTGCGAGGCTCGTGTGCTGCTGTGCTGGAGGAGTGTGGGAGGATGAGGGGGCCACATCCCAGAGCCCCCCTGGGGATGGAGCCCGCAGGGATTTGTGTCCAGCTGGGCAGAGCACCGTGGGATGCCCTGCTGAGCTCTTGGTGGGCAGTGCTGGCACCAGGCACAGTGCTGGGCTCTGCTGAGGGTGCAGCTCTGGGGATTGGCACCAGCATTGCACAACAATCTCTTTCTCAAATAGATCTGTCACTTTTTATATTTTCCTTAATTAAAATTCCAGCTGCTCGTGTCTCCTTACGCACCACTCTGCACGTGTGTCTGACCACAGCCCTGTCAGTGTTGTGCCGTGGCTGTGTCACAGCCCTGGGATGCTCACGCAGCCTCAGAACAGAACCCTGTGCAGGCAAACCTGAAAGAAGCTGGGCAGTGTCTGGAGCAGCAGTAAGGAATCTGGGATTGGGAACTCACCACACTGTTATTGACTGGTCTCCATTCCCAAGAGGACAAACCGGGGCCTTGTTTGCCAGGTTTGCATCTGAAAAAAGCCTTTGCTTTAATTAACAGACAGCCTAAGTGGCATTGTTCTGTTCTCCATTCTGGGTTGTTTTTCAGAAAACAAGAATAGTTTCTGAAATTTTAAAATCTCCTAAAATAGAAATTTTATCTGGAGAAGTCCCTCTGTGATTCCATTCCTAGTATAAACCAAATTTATTTACTTCTCTAGTTGAAATTGCATTATTAAAGAAGAACATAAAGTTTATTTAATATTGTTTGATGTTCTTTGTTTAGTTTTGAATGAAAGTTGGGATTATGCGACCATCTTGTGGCTGTAACACTTGTCAGTTCATTTAAATTAACATTTTAGTTTCTTGTTTATTATCACAAAGTTTATTGGTCTGTTAGAAGTAATACCCAAATTTATGATGCTGGAAAGGGAAAGCTGCAGCTCATCTGGAACGCTTGGCAGTGGAGAAACACACCGGGAGCAACCACAGACAGGCAAGTTCAGCACTCCAGTGGTCTGTCTGTGTGTCTGTCTGTGTGTCTCATGATTTTCAAGTTGTTTTTCATATCCTGATGCAAGTGAAAAGTCAGGGTTTTTTTTCTGGAAAAGTGCATATTTTGGAAACCTCAGCCGTTCCCAGGCCAAGGGTGAGCAATACAAACCTTGCACAAGCAGGTGACGTGGAGATGGGTGTCTTGGAAAGAAAACATCGAAGGAATCATGCAGAGATTTGGGGTGGGTGATCCATGGGGACGCGGAGTTGGAGGCTTGTACAAAGCCACCTTATTCTTTGCCCAGAGCCAGTGGGCTTCAGTTCATGGAGAAAGTAGCTGGAAAAATTACACAGAAATATTTGACCTTCCTTAAGGCCTCTAAGACACAATTACCTGATGTTCACTGAAGTGGTTCACATGGTTCCCACTCTAAATGATTTTCTAGGTTCACCCATGTGTGAAAAAGGGTCTGATTATATGGAGGAGGGCAGTGGAGGAAAGAACTGCGGGAAGGAGAGAATTATGCCAGGGAATTTTACTGATTGTGTTTGCTTCAAGGGAAGGAAAGGGCAAATAGATACGGCCAACTCAAAGTAGCTGAGTTTCTTTTGACTTTGAATTTCAAAAGAAAGAAACATAAGAGAGCTCTGAGTTGTTGACAGCACTCAACAGAAGCTGTTCCATGGAGTTAGGTAGGAAATGTAGCATCCAACACAGTTTGCTTTCTTAGACAGATGACAAATTCTTTTTTCCCCCCTGTACAACAAAACTGTAACAAACCCCATTTGTCCCAGTGCCTTTTCTTTCCTTCTGCCCTGTGTTGCCAGGCACAGGACATCCCTTGCCTGTGCAGCCAGCAGTGCTCCCGCCGGGGGCTGGCCATGCCCCTGCTGCGGAGCTTCAGCTCAACCCTGACCAAAACAAGTGAGTTATCTGGGGCTGCATTCTTTAGTGGGCTTCAGCCAAAATATTTTTCTAAGGAAATTAATTCCGTGGTTGGCACAAAAGTGCCTCTACTGTGCAGTTTTCCAGTGGCAGGTGTGCCCAGGTGCACACAGCTGTCTGGCTTCAATAGTAAATTCCTGTGTTCATCTTGGTCTTCACCAGTGCCCAGAGCTCTGCCAAGCTGCCAGCAGCTTGCTGGGGCCATGGATGGGCACCTCAGCTCCCTGCAGAGACTGCACTGACATCTCTGCCTCCCTGCTGCTTGTTGCCAGCTGATCCCGAAGGAGCTGGAACGAGGCACCGGGAGTGCGGCCGCGCAGAATTGCACTCCCCACATTCCAGGGCCGCGTGCTGAGGAACCAAACCATGGCAGAGAGACTGGAAGATTTGAGAGTTTTCTCCCAGAGCCCATGTTTAACTCTCCGTGGCCCTGTTTGGGAATGGGCTGTAGTCAGTACATGCCTTTAGCTTTAACTTGCACTTCATCAGTCTGGGAGGAAGAATGGAAGAAATGTTCTGAGAGCAAATTCTGTGTATGTCTTCTGCCACCTGCTAATGGTGCGTGTGAGCCGCTGCGTGCCAGGAGCCGATGGCAAAGATAATATCATTGCTGGGGAGAAAATTGCACTGTGCTGAAAATGAGATGTGTTCCAGATGACCTGATAGCTCAGCACCCACTGGGGCCGGGCCTGGGGCCGGGCTCTGCTCACTGATGCTCTCACAGACACATTCAGTGTGATGGAATCCCAGAAATTAAATTATTTAGGGTGGGCAGAAGGACAAAAGCTGAAGAACTTCTATTCACATCCATCCCTGAATCAGGCTTTGCTACATCTGCCTCCAGCCTAATTGCTATGGGCAAGGACAAGGGAGACTGACGGGTGGGAACAACTGTCTGTGTGCCTGGTAAAGCTGCTGGTCTGAAAACTGACATAATGGCACAGTAGACGTGGTGGCAGCTCTTTGAAAGTAAACATCCATTTACAGCAGGATCATACAAATCTTTGAGGCATTCAGCAGCAAGGTCCCTGTGGCTTTTCACCCTTGTGTTGCCCGGAGTTATTGCTCAATGAGGGAGTTCATGGCATTTTGTGTGAACCGAGAGGTAATTGTGAGCAGCTGTTTAAATAGCCCTAATTATGTTTAGAGACTGGCTTTCAGGCCAGTCCCTGAAAGCAGCTAGGATCTGTGAATGAACATATTGCCACAGGTGACCACCTGATCTATGCATATGGACCTAAAAAAAGCCACTTTGCTAAGTTTAAATACCTCAGTAAAGCTGAGCAGACACCAGACGCCAGCACGGCCGCGCCTGCCCCGTGCACGCTGCCCAAAGCAGCATCACAGGGGGCTCTGGGGGGAGCGTGGGTCGGGCACTGTGGCACCGTGGTGACCACAGCATGGTCAGCCAGCCCATGGTCTGCTCCTGGGGGACCAGGGCCTTAAAAAATATAGCCTTTAAATACCCCATGGACAGAGAAGGGTGAAGGGACTAGGCCCCCTGAACAGGGGTTGGAGAAACCCAGAGGCTTACCTTGCTTAATCCTTTGGCAAACATGCTCAGTGTCTGCTGAGTCCCGTGGCCAATCCAGCCTGTGTCAGCACTGCCCTGCAGCTGGCCCAGAGCTCCAGGGGATGGAGGGCACCCGCTGCCCACCCAGAGCTCCAGGGGATGGAGGGCACCCGCTGCCCTCCTGGGGGACAGTGGGGTTCCAGCTTGGCCACGGCCCTGTGCAGTCAGAGTTTTTGAAGGAGACAGTCCATGACAGAGAGGACAAACGTGAAACTGTTGAACATATTCAGCCCTTCAGCGTGAGGGTTGAAGAGTTCACAGTGACAGCTGAGATAAGGCCAGGCCTGGTGATGGGCCCCAAGCCCTCCCTGCTCCACTGGCCTCCTCCTCCTGCTGCAGCGAGCACCCAGCTGCCTCAGTGACCATGTCTGGCTTCAGCGTGACTTAACTGCACAGAATTATTATATCTTATGACATGGAAATGGGTCAGAAATAAACTCTGTGCCTTTCTGTATTAACCTGGTGGTTCTCTGAACAGCAAGAAAAAAATTCCTTAATATACGTGGTGGTCAGTCATGTTTCTTTCTCTTCGTTCTCTTTTGATCACTGATTGCTTTTGGCACTCCTCGTTCCTGGCCACAGGAGGAGGTGAGCACTGAGGGCACCTAGTCCTGCTGGTAGTGCAGGAGATGCTGATGGGGAGGTGCCACCTCCACTGCAGCTCCTCTGGGCAGGTGAGGGGCTCCTGGCACTGCCCTGTTCAGGACAGGCTCACCTGTGCACAGCTCCCACCCATTCTGGGTGGCACCAGCTGCCATCACCCCGGGTCTCTAGAACCCCCTGCCCCAGCAGGTGCCAGCTCCTGCAGGGTGTCTCCATGCCAAAGGTCCTCCTAACCCACCCCAGTGTTTCACTGCATTGTTCCCTCAGTATCATGGTGGTGGTGTCTGGATTTTGGCTCACTCTGGGAGCAGTAGAGTGATGGGGAACATATCTGGGTGGCAACTCTAGGAGCTGTCACAGCACAGGGAGGTTAAGGGCATTTTCCAAGGAAAAGGCTCTCTGGAGGAGGATTGCTGTCAATGCTTGTACTGCCATAAGCAACACCTCCAGTCACCATAGGCAAACCTTTTGGTAGCAAAGTTTTAAAGAGATTTTAAAGGAGATTTCACAGAATTGTTGTAGGGGGATTATAGAATTACAAT